ATCAATTCTCTGAGAAAAAGATTAACAAGACCTCTTCTAAGTAATCAATGATGAGATCTAAATAATGCTGTGACAGCTTCAGTGTAGAGAAAGTAAAGAAGAATTTCAAGTGTTCTGATTCTTCACTCACTGTGAAGAAATATTAAAAAAGATTTGATAAAGATCTCTGTTTTAACTGCAGAGCTGATGATCACTATATCAGTGATTGTAAGAAGCTGAAGAAGAGAAGGAACTGAGAAGACATCTTCTCAAAGTTAACTCCTCTTCTGACAAATGTATTCACAGAAGATAAAGAAGAGAAAGAGAAGAATTGATAATTCTCACATCTTCAAGTTCATGTTATAATTACAATGCATATCTCAAATAAGAAGATATCAGTGAGATGTTTACTTGACTCTGAGATAGATATCAACTTCATATTCTATTCCTTTTCTTTGATAAAGAGTTGAAAGAAGATAGATTCATCAGATCATGTAAAATTTACTAATGAAATAAAATGCCACTGTTTTGACATAATTCAAGTGAAGTATGTGATTACAGACTCTGAAGAAATCTTCAAGAAGAGCAGTTTACTTCTTCACACAGTTAATATTGTAGATGAGAATGTCATTCTAAGTCTTCTATGATTGAGAGAAAACAATTCTCTCATTGACTGAGTCACTCAGATGTGATGATACTATCTCACTAATGAAGAGACAGTGATAGAGGAATCTGAAGAGTTTCATTGAAAGAATCTTGAGAAAAAGATTAAGTCAATATACTATGTAGCAGGTGATTGAGACTTGAAGATAGATGAAGAAGTCATCACTCTCACTGCAAGATTAGCAGCAGTATTCATCATTGAAGGTGAATATATATAATATCTCTTTACAGATTTTAAGAATGTCTTTTCAAAAAGAAAAGTAGTGAAGTTTTCTGACATCAAGATGCAACATAAGATTCATCTTGAAGATAGTGCAATGATGCTGTATAAGTCTCTTTATAACTTGTCTGTAAAGGAATTGAATGTTCTGTGCAAATATCTTAAAGAAGCATAATCAAAGAACTGAATATATTCATCAAAGAGTCTGACAGAGATGTCTATACTCTTTGTACTCAAGAAGAATGATAGACTATGTCTATGCATAGACTACAGAGATCTTAATAAGATGATGATTAAGAATCACTATTCATTACTGTTAATTAATGAGATGATCAATCAATTATCTGAAGCAAAGATGTTCTCAAAGATTGATATATAGAATATCTATCATAGAATCAGAGTTAATAAAGACAATATTTAGAAAATAGCTTTTCATACTAAGTACAGTAATTTTGAATATCTTGTTTTATCTTTTGATCTTTGTAATACTTCAGTCATCTTTCAGATCTATATAAATGAGATACTGTGAGGCCTTGTTAATATCTTCTGTATAGTATACTTGAACAACATTCTAATCTTCTCAAAAACAGAGAAAGAATACAATATTCATGTTCAAGAAGTGTTGAGTCACTTGAGACAGCATTAACTCTATATAAATACTGAAAAATGCTTGTTCTACATGCAGGAGATTAGACTGGCCGCCGGGACCATGAATTTCACGTTTGGTCCCATTTGGTCTGGTCCCATACATTTCTTGGCGTGAATCCCGCTGGGACTAATCATTAAATAAACATGCAAAGTGACTATATATCAGATCTCAAAATGAAACCATGACTTGAAAAAAATGAGAAAGTGGTCTCATTTGGTCCCATTTAGTCCCATTCTTGGCATAAAGTTACTATTTTTAGACATTTTAAGGTTTTTTTTAGACTATTTTTAATTTTTTAAAAAGTAACGCTTTTTGGTAACGCTCAAATGAGATTTAAAGTCATTTAAAGCAATAAAAATAATTTAAATTGAGAAGTGGAAATCATGGTCCCATTTGGAAAATGTGACAAGAGTAGACAGTAAGTCCCACTGAGACAGTATGGGACTACTATCTAATGTTAGAACCGTGTAATGGGATCTGTCGAATTGGCAATGGAACTATCAAAAATTCTGGTCCTGGTCCCAGACACGGTCACACGGTCAGTCTACAGAAGATTGATTTCTTAGATTATATTATTAAGATGAATGGCATTTCAATGAACAGAAGCTGAGTCTTCATCATTGAGAACTGGCCAGTGTCATGAATGTACTGTGAGATACAGGTGTTTCTAGAATTTATGAATTTCTACAGATAATTCATCTATGCATATTCACAGATTACTGCCCCTCTTACAGATCTGTTAAAGAGAAGTGTGAAAGACAGAAAAATAAGACTGTTTATTCTCACTCAAGACACTGTGCAGATGTTTGCAGAATTGAAACAAGCTTTCACAGATATCATGATGCTGAATCACTTTAATTCTGACTTACTCAGTCAGTGTGAGACTGATATATTCAGAAATGAGATCTATGAAATCTTTTCACAGTTGACACTGAAGACCTTTCAATATTGAAAGAATCAGAAAATAATCACTTCTGAGAAAACAAGCAATGAATTATCTGTGAGAGAAGACTTTTTCACAAAGTCTATAAGACACTGTGAATAAAGATCAGTGATCTTCTTCTTCAAGAAGTTATCACTCACACAGAGAAGATATGATACTTATAATCAGAAGATGTTAGTAATTATTAAATTCTTTAAGATCTGATGATATTATCTTCAGAGTAGTAAGTACTCAGTGTAAGTTCTCACTGATTATGCAAATCTGCATTACTTCTTGACAATAAAGAGCTTGACAGAACATCAAGTCAGATGAGTGAAGCTGCTTTCAGAGTATAATTTCTATATTCAATATTATTCAGATTGGCTTAATTCTGCTGATATACTGTCTAGACAGCCTGATTATAATATCATTAATGTGGAGAAGAATTCTACAAAAGAATCTCTGCTATCACTGCAGAAGAAGCTGACTGCAGAGAGTTGAAATTCTCTGAAGCTTGAAAACAGTGCTGAAGAGACAGCTGCATGACTCAGTATAGAAGATGAAAGAAAACTCAGATCTTCACAGAGAACTGATACTGAAGATTATAAACTTCTTATGTTATATCTTACAATTATTGAATTAGTAAAGAATGAAACAGTCTACAATCTTTCAATCTGACTACTTTTGAAATTCATTGATAAGTTACAGAAGAGGAACATCTCTACTGCAGCTTGAATTCAGAAGTTGAAGAAGAAAGAATTCAGTTTGAACTTGAAAGAGACAGACTTTGAGTGAGACAGTACTGTTAAGAAATCAAGTCATTGATAATTAGAAGAATATGAACTTCTACTGTTGAATGATTCAGTCTTCATTCTTTGTAGTAGAGCAGTGCATCAGAAGTTATTAAGAATTCATCATAATGATCTTCATACAGAGCACTTCAGATTAGAGAAGACTGAGAAGCTTCTAAAATATAAATACACTTGAGACAAGCTCTGAACAGATGTCAAAGAGTATATTAAGACTTATAATATCTATCAAAGAATAAAGATTCTACAATATAAGTAATATAATGAGTTGACATCACTATCTGTTTCAAAGAACTTATGACAGAATCTATCAATGAATTTCATAGTTGACCTGCTGAAGTTGATAAGAGTTAAAGAATATAACTCAATTTTGATTATTATTGACTGCTTCATGAAGATAGCCAGATATATCTCTATTTATAAAAAGATTAAAGCCTCTGAATTGACTGATCTGTTTTTAGATATCATTATTTGTAATCATGATGCTCTGAAATTATTGATAACAGATTGAGAATCTCTCTTCATCAGCAAATACTGATTGGCTTTTTACTATCATCTTATAATAAGATATCTTCTCAGTATCGCATTTCATTCGCAGACTGATGATCAGACTGAACATTAGAATCAGACACTAGAATAGCATCTTTGAGTGTTCTGTTCATATTATTAGAATGATTAGTGTAAACATCTTCTGACTGCTGAATTCATATATAATAATGCAAAGAATGCAATCTTAAAGATATCTCTCTTCTATACTTATTACAAATATAATTCTTCATTACTCAGTGACATCATGAATGATGTTTTAAAGAGAAGAATAGACAGTCAGAATGTCAGATAGATACAGAGAATGAAGTATTTCTCAGTACTAGAAGTAAAAGTGAGATTGAAACTTTTGAATAAAATTCATGATAAGACAGTGAAAAGCATTCATTATGTTCAGAAGTGATAGATAAAATACTATAATTGAAAACATCTTTCAATGAAGTTCTTGATAGAGAATCAAGTGCTACTTTCAGCAAAGAATATCAAGACAATGAAACTGTGTAAGAAGCTCAGTAAGCAGTGACTAGAATCTTTCTCAGTAACAAGAGTGATGAATAAGCAGATATGTGAGTTGAAATTACTCACAGAATTGAAATCAATTTATTCTGTTTTTCATATTTTCTATTTGAAGCTCTTTAAGCAATGTCTCAGAGCGGAGCTGTCTTGACTGAATGATATTGAGATTGAGAGTGATACTGAATATCTTGTGAAGAAAATATTGAACAAGTGAATATATTACAGCAAGCTTCAATATCTCATTAAATAAGAAGATTATTCATCATCAGAGAATTCATGAGAATCACTTAAGTATTTGAAAAATACTGAGAAAGAGATTGCAATCTATGAGATAGCTAGTAGAGATCATCTCATTATATATCAGAGATATTGAATAAGAAATATTACTTAAGACTTCTTATTTTTCTTAAAGAGTTTTTTAGAGATGATCTTGCTGTGATTCAAAGGTTGCTTAAGCCAGCGTACAATTACAGGCGTATGCCGGCTTCTTATATATTGTAATATTGTACACTAATTTAATTAGCGGCCGCTATGGCCCCTTTACACTTGTACACATACACTAGTAGTTCGGAAGCGGCCGCGGTATTATCCGATGGTCGTACGTTCTTCTGAACCACATCCTCCCCCATCAGATTCGGTCACACCCACATGACCATGTTGTACACCCTAGCTTCATGCGGATTAGCTTGCCACTAGCATTTCACAATTGTGTGACCTATTCCTGATTCGGCTAGTGTTCTGCATACACTCTCACAAAGAAACTTTCACTATATTACATCACTCATTCACTAACTTTTCTCATTCTTCAATCATCTTCTTCATTTCATTATCATTGAATGTCACTATCTTATTCAAGATTCCTATCTCTTCTTCTATTCAACTCCTTTCATCTGTCTCTCTATCACATTGTATGTGTTTCTGGCAATGGCTCCCTGTTCTCATAACAAGTATTATCATAGTGCTCATACCAGGCAGTTCATTAGCAGTAAGTGTAATACATTGTGAAACATGATCAGGACTTGTTTATCTTCTAATGATTATCAGAATGATGTATTATCATGAATGATGATACATCTTCTTCATCTTCTTATATGTCTCTGACTGTTTCCTTCTCAGTGAGTTTCTGATTGTGTTTTCTGACATGATTTTGTGTGAATGCAGATGCTGATATGTTTGTTTTTATTCATATAGAATCTTCATATGTTGACAGATTCATATTCACTAATGATAGTGAGCTCAATGTTGCATTCTTAATCAAGAACTTGAAGAATGTGATAATGAAGAAATTGTCTGTGTCATGTGTGACTGAGTCTTTCATGTCCTCTCTTGCCTCTTCTGTCACTTCTTTCTCTGCTGCTTCTCTCTCTGTCTCTTTCTCTGCTGCTCCTCAATCTTCTACACTTGTCCCTGTGTCTGATTCTCTCACTTCTGCTACTTCTGTTTCTGTGACCCCTGGTTTTGCTGTCTCTGCTTTCATTACTAGCTCTCCCTGTTTCAAGAAGATATTGTATAGGCTTAATGAATCATGTCTCTCAGTGTGTACACTCTCACTCTTCTTGTCAACTCTCAGAACAATTTATTGTATAAAGACTATGTATAACATGACTATCTGAAGCTCAGTTGTGAACACTGATTATTACATTCATTTTAAATATTCATGATGAGACAATTATTCATTGATATCAGAGAATCATCTCTCTTCTCAACAGTGTTGAGATTGTAAGTCTTTTTCTTTTCATCTTTTCAATCTGATGCTGATTTTTCTATTCTTAGAGAAAATTGTTATGGGTTTTACTGTGCATGAAGTCATGATATTCACAGATATCAAGAAACTTTTCATGACTGTAAAGTTCAATATTGTCAAGATATTCACTCTGATGAATTTCTTCAGAATGATAGATCTGTATTAGTCTATTCTCTGATATCTGTTATCTGACTTTGTGATACAGGCAAAAGATATCTGTGTTTTCAGAAACAGGAATGTGAATGTTGTACTCTTTTACACCTATGAGTATGAGGCTTGTATGTCTTATCTGAGATGTCATTATGAGAATGAGCTGTTCACACACTGTGTTCTGCTTTCTGTATTCTTCTGTGTCTCTCTCTCTCTTTCTGAGAAGCCTCATGCATGTTGTAATTGTATATACAACTCTAAGATCAGTGAGTGTTTGTTCAGTAACTGTTCCCATCTCTGATTTTGTGATTTTTATATGCTAATAATGATTCTTAGTTACTCTGGTATCAGAGGCCATTCTGATTGAAGATGATAATGCTGCTGAGACTACTCTCTTTCACTCTCAAGCTTCTCTTGTTGCTTTCTCTTCCTCTTCTGCAGAGAAGGTTGTGCATACACTGAGTTATAAGTGTTCAGCCCCGGGTGGCTCCTGCCATTGTTTGTCTGGTTCTGTGTCTTCTTCTCCTTCTGTTTCTTTCACCTCTGTTCCCTCTGCTCTGGCTCCTGGTCCTGCGGGTTCTGCACTCTTCTTCAATTTCTCTATATGTATGTGTGTGCATTCCTATATTAGCATTCCAGTCAATCTTGTGATAAATGACATTAATGTTGTACACAGAGTGATAGAGGAATCAGAGATATGCACAGCATTGTTATGAGAGTGACTTACAGCTCTTGAATCTCTCACAGATCTTGAGTTTTGAGATTTCCTTTGTTTTTGGTGTTTTTCAGATGGTGTGATGTTGGAAATAGATTAAATATGTGATGTATGAAAATGAATGAGATGTGTATAATAACATTTGTCTTTTGTGACTGACTCTTACAGTTGATGATCAATTCATTATCTCTTTTCTTACACTTTTTCTTTATCTGCTAGTCACTACTCTTACACAACCTCTATATAATACAGTGTTTGATGACTAGGTTTGACAGCTTCTATCTTTTGTGATTCTGTCTCATGCATTATACTGTCTCTCTTCACCTGCTCAGATCACTACAGTGAATGACTCATTGAAACTAATCTCACTCAATCTCTGAGTGTTCTCAGAGGTTGAGATGGCTTGGTTTCATGTGTCTGCAGGTGTTTCAGATAGTTCATCCTCTGTGATCTCTGTGATTGAACTGGTGTAAACAGTCAAATTCAACTCTGGATTTCTTTTTCTTCTGTGATCTGACTCACATGCAAGTCTGCTACTCTGAGATCACTCTTTACTGTGTTGCATCTGCTGTCTGTGATGTATTATCATATGACTGGCTACAGTCTTATCACTTATTGAAGTGTGATATTTATCTGATTTCTTCATTGCTTCTCATTCTTTTCTTATAATTGTGAAAAGATTGAAATAAGTGAGATTATCTGGTTTGTAAGTGTCTATGATTTCTCTTACTTTGTGAGACTTTTCAATTATAAGTCTCTTCTTTTTCAACACTGATAATAGTGCTGTGAATGATTATAATCTGCTCAGGTCTTGCATCTTTACTTTTACAAGTCATGAATCATTGATTAAGTTGTGTAAGATCTGTCTCTCTGGTTCTTTCAATGCATACATTTTCAGAGAATGTGATTTGAGTATCTTATATAGCTCAAATCATCTAGATTGGAACTTCTCAGAACTCTCATTGTGTACAAGAACTTATGTTCTCATCTTGAGACTCAATTTCTTAACAAGTGAGTCTTGTATTCTTTTCAATTGGATTGCTCAGTTCAGGAGTAACTTATTAGCTTTTGCATGTGTGTGGCTGATCTCTTTCAATCTTGATTCTGCATCTGTGACTGTTGTATCTGCAACTGCTACTGTTGTGTCTGTAACTGCTCTCTCCCTCATCTTTTTTAAAGCATTCTCCAGGATGCACGGATGCAATTCATACAACAGGTAGAATGATGAATGCTTGAAGACTGCATGCTGTTGAATCCGTGTGGTCAATAGCGCCTGTCTGAGATATTCATCTTATAGTCTTGTAGGCTTACTCACTAGATATTTTATCAGCATGTTGTTCAAGATTTCATTCAAGTGTTCTATCTTCCTGTTTGTCTGTGAATAATATGATATTATTCTATGATGTCTTGTCTGTAACTGGCTCATGAAATGCCTCACTGCTTCTTCTATAAGGTTCACATCATTATCAGTTAGAATCTCACACAGCATTCCATAGTTGACATAGATTTCATTATGTAGAAACTTCATCATCACCTTCTCTGTTGTCTCTGAAACTGCTTTCCCAACTGACCAGTCAGTAGTGTAATCAATAGCAGTGATTATTCATTGATTTTCATTTGATGTTCATGGTAATATATCTATGAGATTCACTTCTCATTGTTTGAACAGTTGTATTATACACTTTATCTGATGTTATACTTCTTCACATTCTAACTCTTTCTTAGATTCTTTCACAATCTGACAATTCGGGCACTCATGAGTGTGTGTCTGAATGTTCTCAGCCATGCTTGACCAGTACACTCTTGATTTGAGTATGCTCATGAGTTCAGAGCTTTCTAAGTGACTGAATTCTTTGTGCATGTGAGTCATCAAGTTGTGTCAAAATGAAGATTCTAGATAGGAAGCTTCTGTGTATTCTAGATTGTGATAAAGCATAATGTTGTTTTTCAATTTCCTCAGCTTGAAGTTTGAAAGCATCTCTTCTACTACTTTTGTAAGATGCTTGTCATCTGACATCTTGTCATTCTTCAAGTGAGAGATCATAGTGTTCACTCATTCTGATTCCTTGTATTCTCTCAGTGTATTTAACACAAATGTTCCTTGTGCCTGATTTGTAGAACTCTCACTCATGAAATCAGATCTGTGACTGATTGTATTCAGTATCACTGTGTCTGATTCTTTTCAGTATTTGATATGAAGATTGTACACTTGAAACTCTGAGATTCAATGTACTAAGTGTTTGAAAGGTTTTATTATTGATTATAGATAGATAAGGCTTTTATGATCTGTGATCACTGTTATTATATACTCATTGTCAATATATCTATCTCACAACACCAGTGTGTGCTTGATCACTAGCAATTTCTTTTCATGCACTGAGTAATTAAGCTTGATGTCTGATAGTTTTCTACTATCATACATCACTGAGTGCAGCTTGCTGTCCTTGCTCATCTGTAGAAGAGTACCTCTGATAGCTTATTCAGATATGTTCATCTCAATGTAGAAAGGTTTATTATAATCTGATTGAATAAGTACTGAGAATGTTGTTACACATTTTCTCAGTGTGAGAAAAGCCTCTTCACACACAGTATTTCAGATGATTGAATGAAACTTCTTCTTTTACAGATTTGCATCTGTTTCTCTTAAGAGATCTGAGAGTGATGCAGATATTTATGTGAAATTCTTGATGAATCTGCAGTAGTATGAGACCAACTCAAGAAACTGTTGTACATGGTGTACATTTCTCAGCTGTGATTAATTTACTATGACATTCAATTTCTCTGAAATGAGGTGTATACAGTCATCACTCACTACATGTTCTATGAACTTTAACTCTTTCATTTCAAACACACACTTGATTGATTTGATATAGAGCTTATGCTCTGTCAGAGTTATAAGCACTTCATCAAGATACTTCAGATATTCATTGTATAAGTTTGAAAAGACTAGAATATCATTGAGATATATAAGACATGAGATTTCATTCTGTTTATAAAGAATTGTATTCATCATTGTTTGAAAGATAGCAGATGCATTTATCAGACTGAATGATATTATCAGGAATTCAAACTTCTCTTATTGTATATTAAACACAGTTCACAGAACTGACAGTTCATCTACACAGATCTGCCAGTATTCTGAGAGAAGATTGATCTTTGATAGATATTGAGTGTTTCTGACTGTATTCAACTATTGTTGAATCTGTGACAGTGAATATTCATTCTTAATCATAAGCTTATTGAGTGCTTGATAATTGATACACATTCATCACTCTTCACCTGTCTTTTTCATGAATAGAACTGGAAAGCCTCACACACTTGATAAGAGTTGTATGAGATCATGTTCTAGAAGGTCTGTGATCTGATACTTCTGTTCTTCAAGATGCATTTGTGACAGGGGGTATGCATTCTGATTGACTGGTTTTATGTTCCCTGTGTCAATCTCATGTACAAATTCTCATTCTAGTAATAATTCTGGTGAAAGATCTGTTCAGAAGATCTTCTCATACTTCTTCAGAAGCTTCTTCATATACTTGTTCTTCTGTATATTCTTTATCTTAGTTTTCTTCACTTCTGAGTTCTGTATGACATACAGAATGCTTTCAGATAAGGTCTTGTGAATTGTTCTCTTTGCTTATTGATGTATAAGCAGATTTAATCCTTCTATATCAGAGACATGGAATATTCTTCTTATATCAGTTGATAGGATTGTATGAATCATTTTCTTCCTATCAGTCAACTGCATATAGTATGTATGTCATTGAATCTGTGAATTGAACCTTTGAAATCAATCAAGTCTGAGAATAAGATTGTATTTCACATTCTGCAGCTCTCACACTCAAATATAGCAAGATTATTCTCTGAAGTACAAGAGAACTCTTACTTTTATAAGTAATATCAGATATCAGTTATCAGATAATCTTATACATTGAGAATTCTTCACTTGATGAACCTCTTTCAATCTTCAGATTATATGATCATCAATATATTGTGTAGAAGCTTCTATATTCACTAACACTTTTACAGTCATCTCTCAATTCTTATTCAAGTGTCCTCTATATATTAACATTTTGAGCCTCAAGGTATTAAGATGAGTGTTCACTTTATTATTCTTATCTACACCTCATTCAGAAGCCTGCTTCTTCTTTGCATTCACAGAATTCAGAGAGTCATCTAACACAGACATCTCTTTCACTTTAAAGACTTTTCATAGAATATCAGTGAGTGTCTTTGAGCTCACTGATTCTGCTAGTTTTTTGACTTTCTTGCTTCTCTTGACTGCACACACTGAGTGCAATCTTTTGCATCATGATTTTGATGTCTGCAGTTGAAGCAAGCTTGATGCTCACAATATCAAGATTTTCACTCAGAGAATTCCTTTTTCAGGGGATTCAGCACTTTAGTGATGATATT